TTTCTCCACGTTATACCTTAATAGGACATTGGCATAACTCAACATCGCGTAGTAAAATACGTGAATATCTTATGGTACTGCTTGACATTGTGAAAGAACGTTACTTAGATAACGGACTTGTCTCTTGTGTATGAAATAATACATAAATAACACTAGTTTACAAGAATTTTTTATGATTATTTTGAATCAAACAAGGTATTTTTTAAAGATTTTTTTTAATGCTCTAAAAACGCGATGCCACAAGCCAAATTTTTCTAACACGTTCAGTTTGAGAAATAATTGACCTTTAATGTACATAAAATGACTTTTTTTTTTAAGATTAACTTTCTTAAAATTTTGATTAGAAGTCATGAATATATTTGTATGTATTGTTCATCTCCTGCAAGACGCATTTTTTGTCTTTCAACATTTCACTTTTTATGTAGCAAATTTTATGTATTATGTTAAGATTCAGACAGAATTTTTCTAAGATAGCAAATTTTTGTTTATAACTTTAAAGTTATATATATTTATAATTTCTAGTGTGTGTTATTAATACACATACAAAGACCATACAACTTACTCGAAAAATTCTTTTTAAATGTGTTTTTATTTTCGAAATAATCCAAATGGGTAATTAAAATAAAATACTGTGAGTGGAGTGTGTGTATATATACATATATATATGTGTGCGTGTATATACATATGTGCACATATTTGCGGAATTACGATAAATTATACTATGTGCCGACAGCAACACTAGAAATTATAAATATATATTTTGTCTTAAGCGAAAAGTGTGCTATTTTAGAAAAATACTATATTTAAATGCTTCATAACATGTTGTAAGAAGTAAGATATTGTATTAAAAAAATTTTATAGGATAATATTATAGGACAATACATTCATATGACTTCTGATCAGAATTTTAAGTTAAATGTTTTTAACAAATACTAGAATCTTTTTACGACCGTATAATTGATAAACAATGATAAACAAGAAGAAGGAAGCCAATAACGGTCAAAGCTGAATCACAATTATAATAAGCACTGTGATCCAGCTTTGACCTTATTGGCTTTCTTCCTCTTGTTTATTAATTGTTTTTATAAAAAAATGTCAATAATTGCAAAAAAAACCATTTTTTGCAAATTAAAAGTCAATTATTTTTTAAATCTGATGTGCTGGACAAATTTGGCTTGCACATTCTCAATATTAAAAAATCTGTAAAACCGGAATCAGACTACGCATTGAAGACTGAAATTGAAAGTTGAAATTTGATTTATGTATTGAGGATAGAAGAATTTTAGCTCCTACTATTTTGATTAGCCAAATTTCAATCTTTTAATCTTTAATCTTAATCTTTAATATGTAGTCTGATTCCGGTCTAAGAAATATCTTATTTATTTCAAAGAATTTTTTGCTGTAAACCAGTGTAGTCCGATACAAATCACGTGTATGCACGCTTGACAAAAAGCTAACTTGTTTAATGTTGACTAGTACTGAGTGAAAGAAAACAAATGGAAGAAAATACAGTTTTATATACACAATTATTATACTTCATTGTCGAATCATCTTGTAATCCAACACTTTTACAATGGTTTTATTGTTTCATTCTTGTAATAATTGGTATCGTCATTAGATTTTGTCATTTTGAATTCATCATTCATAGGAAAAAGTTTAAAATTGTCACTTTGATATCTCTCATGTACTATATGAGAAGAAACTAAATATTATATTATAAATATAAATCTTTTAGTTTTCCAATGACCTTCTACAGCAACATTTAAAGCAAAATCTATTTAAAACACAATTTATATATATAAATCTATATAGATATAATTTAAAAAGAGTCAGTTGAAGATTTATTGCTTTTATAATGTTGTTTACTCATATATTACATGAGTCATTTGCAAAGTGTACGCTTTTGATAAGTAAATGATTTATACACACCACAGATTCATGTAAAAAAAAACTACATATACCATATCTTTTTTTTTATGAAGGAGAAGAGCCACTAGTTTCATTTGTCAAAATAAACACGTTAAAATTTGATGAGTAATTCAACAAGAAATTATTTACGCATTTTTATTTATTTAACCGATGTGACTTAATTAATTTATGAAATGGTATTCTGATCTAAAAATTGTACTTTGAAATATAAATTAGGTAATTATATGGAATATTCATAAAGAAATGTTAAACTTTGATGCAGAGATGTTAAGAAATTCCAAGTTTTTGAAATGTTTAAAAAATTTACAAACAGAGACACTTTAAAACGTTTAGATGTCCCTGAACACTTTTCAAGATATTTCTTACAGTTTCATCATTGTGTTATCTGATAACAAAAAATTAAAATACTGCTCAACTATCAATGATATTTCATAATGATCATAGCCTTGTAATTCTATACAGAATTACTTAGTATATAATTTTATAATATGTACAAATTGTAGTCTATGTAATAGACGATTGTTCATTTCACTTATTAACGTTAAATCGAATATGAGTGACATAATTATCTCATATATTAATAAATATATAAGATGATGTTTTTTTCCTTGTACTTAGATACGCGTAATAGAGAAAAGTAGTTAGCATTAGCTTTTGTTCTTAATATGATATTTTATTATTACTTTATTATTATTTTATTATTACTTAATATGATATTTATTATAATTTTTTTTGTATTTTCTGTCATATAATTGATTATTTACGGATTTTGATCTTGCAATTGTGACTCATTAACGTTCTGAAATTGTATCGGAAGAAAAGACGATTGAAAATATTCTATGTAACGTAAAATTAATCAAAATTTGGCAATGTAAAATATTTTAAAGATATCTTATGACTTTATTGCGGGAACTTTACTGGGTTACCATCGAAATGAAAAATTGCTTCGATGAATAAAAACGAAAGTGGACACTTCTCATACTTTATGTCGCGACATTTTTCATGTCGACCGTCATAGAACGTAATCCCCCGCATTTGATGGTCGCACGTGCCGACTCGTGACAAGGAAGGAAGATAGTCCCGGTAGTGAGTCAACCTTCAGTTTCATTATCAGTGTGCTTGTTGGCAGTCATCAGCCGGCAGTTGTTAGCGAGTGTAGCCCACTACCCCCGCGTCGGAAAAGATATTTCACCCTCTATCTGTCTATTAGAAACATTTTAAATGGCAAAAACTTGAAACAAGGACTGCCTATTTTATCCGATACTTTTCGTTTGATTTACGCGACAAAGCTATTTTATAATAACAAATTTAAATATGTTATCGATATATTTCTGAGAACAAGCAATCTGCAGATTCCAATCGATCTGAAGTCGAACTAAATCCTTTGTAACGATGGAATACAAATTATGGAAGTTTTCTCAGTTTAATTCCCTTCTTTACTAAATTATTAACAGCAACGTTTTGGTGGAGCAATTAACTCCCAAGTTTACAGTGATTCTATTTCCTTAAATTTTACATCGTCTACTATGATATTCTCCAAGCTTTGGTACTTGTTCAGGTTACACGAAGTACAAGAAGATCAAGAGCACGAAGAGTTAATATCCTTAGACGTTGAACGTAATTCTTAGAGGATTGTCCAAATCCTCTGAGGAATAATGAATGCACCCCCTCGTTCATTTGTTCGAACAGGGGAACGAGGGGGGGGGGGAAGGGGGGAGCGAACGCCAGCGACCGTGGAAGAGGAAGGGCGAGGAGATAAGGGAGAAAGAGAGAATGTCGAGGGACCGTGGGGTCGGTTCCCGTGGGTATAACCCGGATCGAGCGTTCCCAGGAACGCGCACGTGACCCGCGTCAGAAGACGATCAATACGGACTTCGCGAACTCCTACACCCCACTAGAACGATATGTCGCCCTTGTACAGTCCACATACATCCTTCGCCTTCCGACGAGACCGATGGCGACGGCGAACGACCATCATCCCTCCTCGCACGTGTGCGTATAGATTGTTGCGCGCACGTGCGCCTATTTAACCCTCCCGTCCCCATCCTCTCTCTCTCTCTCTCTCTCTCTCTCTCTCTCTCTCTCTCTCTCACTCTCTCTCTCTCTCTCTCTCTCTATCCCCTCATACCATCCGGCTTCCGTTCCCGATATCGTCGAATCTTCACAGATTTACGGTCTCGTGGACGATACGGAAAGCGCGTCAGGCTAGGCTGCTTCTCTCTTCAGTTCAATCTTACTTTGAGAAAATTTTATAAAGATATATATATAAATATGTCTTACTTTTAACTCATAGATAATGATAATATGTATCTATATTTATTAAACATTTTTATTTTAGCGATTATATATCATTTATCTTTTAATCAGTCAAATTAACGAGAAACTCCCAAGTTTTTCGATCTCAAGCGTGTGTGAATAATGAATTTTATTTTTTATTTAGTATAATTTAATTGTTTCAGTCGTATGTTGAACGCGCAAATACCTATAAAATACCTCATTTTCGCTATTGATGTTCCTATATAGTATTTGATTTTTCATAAATGTGTAGATTTTAAGGAATTACTAATTATTGTACTTTTTATTTATGCCCGTTTCTATCACCCCTTTTTTTTTATAGAAAACATTGAAGAGTAAATTAAACCGAGAGATTAAAGTTACTTTACATCAATAGAAATAGACGTCAGGCCCGATTCCACCAATTCTAAGAATTAAAAATCGTATTCATTTCTATCAAGGAAAACTTGCTGTTTATTTTTTTAATTTTTAAAATTAGAAACAGGTAAGAGCAGTAAATTAAAATGAGGTTAAAGTTAATCTTACGTGATAGAGCCAAGCCTCATGCCCGTTTCTATCGATGCAATTTAATTTTAATTAGAAAAAGATGGAGAGAGAGAGAGTAAATTGTACCAAGATTAAAGTTAATCACTGCATTTCTACTGCATTGGTAGAAACGGGCATTATAGTCAATTTATTTGCGTGATCGAGATAGGATGAGGCAACAGAGGAATACACGCTGTGTGTTCACAGGATAAAAACAAACACAACGAAGCTAACGTATAGACACAGTTTTGCATTTATTTCTCGTGTGTGCAGTACGCCCGCGTAATGATGTACTTACAGCCTTTCAGTCTTTGCAAATATACAATATTTACGCGGGTTGAGGGGGGAGGGGGGGGGGGGGTAGAGGGGGGAGTTTCAGCACTTTCTAAATTATAATATAAGAGGCTATAACAACGACAGTGAGAATAACTATACAATAATCAATAGCAGCGATAGAGCGCGAAAAACTTTGAATGAGAAAATAAACGAGACCCTCGTCGCGATCGAGCTCGATTTCGCCGCGAAATTGTAGCCAATCCCGATCGATCGCGATCTCGCCTTCTCGTCTACCGACATCTGAATCAAATCTTCCGTTTTCAACTCGCGCGCGCGCGCGCTCGCGCGTTCTCCAGGAAGGAAGGACCTCCGGCAAGAAAAGGCGATCGATCGACGAGAGACTAGTTGGGCGGGGCGGCTATATGTAATTGACTCGAGTGTAACGAACGTTATGCGAGCACTCTAGTGTATTCGAACGCGTGCGCGTGTTGCCCGCACTCGACGCGACATATCGCGTTGCGATGTATATACGATCGACGACGGGATAACAGGATGGACTCTCGGCCGTCGGGAGACTCCGAGAGTCGATCCAGTTTTCCCCGCAGTCAAACAACAAGTAACTTTATCAAAGAGCGAACGCCAGTTGGAAACACGCGCGTCGCCTCCCATGCAGCACAGAGATTTATGCGGCAACGATAATTAGCTTATTGTCCTCAGCATCTTCGCCTTTACTCTCTTCAAAAACGCCTGAATATAGATATATTTGTTTTCTTTAAGTGGAAAAATTTTGGGGCGATTTCTCGAGCAACGCGAACAGACAATCGGTTGGCTCACACAGGATGTCCTGTAGAAGGGCATCCTTTGGACATCTCGAGAGGACATTGTGTTGTCTGGATGGAACGATCTGTGCTGTATGGGACTTCCACAGTCCGTCAATCCGAGGCCTCGAAAGACCAGAGAGATCGCGATGAAATCGACCGCCGATCGCGGGTGTCGCGCGGTCGGTTGGGGAAAAGAAAAATTGAGAAATGATAAGAGATCCTATAGGGGCGGCCAAAGAAGAGGGGGTAGAGGAAATTCGTGCCGGGTCCTTGTAACCGTGAGAGGTCTCGTGTGGAATGGCGATGAGCGTATAGTATATATGTACAAATGTATTTACAATTTCCCTTCGCAGAGGAGAAGGGCAGAAGTCGGCGCGGGATTCGCTCTTTTAGATCAAAAAATGTCTCTTCGATCGAAATACGTTCTCGTCTTCGGACGCGCGGTGTCCCCCGGGTAGTTATATAGTTTCTCTTCCGATGGGCGACACTTGCCCCGTGACTGCCCAAATCGAGGGTAGATCAGCGCGGACGTTCCTTTCGAAGAGCAGAGCGATCCATCCTAGTCCACGAGGAGGGTGACCTCCTGATGCGACCTATATATATACCCTAATGGGTCCGACCAACAGGTCACCGATCGGCGACCGTCGCGGTTACGACGGACGTCGTAGTGGTGGTCGTGGCGGCCGACGTGGTGGCGGTGTTCAGCAGCAGGGGTTGCCTCGAGGACGACTGCGTCGACTCCATCGTCGTCGTCGTCGTCGTCGTCGTCGACGTTGTCGTCGTCTTCGCGTCCTGATGCGCCGCATTCGTCTCCTCCAGGGTGGTCTGCAGATCGCAAATGTACTCGATCACCCTTTGGATCACCTCGAGCTTCGACAGTTTCCGCTTGCGCGGCATGTCCGGGACGAGGGAGCGCAGCTTCGTCAAATAAGCGGCCACTTCCTCGGCCTCGAGGTCGCGTCTGGTGCCGCCGATCCCCAGGCCATTGTGCAGGACGCCGCGATGATTGGGCGGCACTCTGCCGCTCACCGGACTCACCACCATCGCCTTCATGCAGGTATATAGCGGCGATCAGCGAGAGTTACACGGACGGCCGGAATCGATCGATCCGCTCTTTCCTCTCTTGACTCTCGTTCGCGAGCACCCTGCTGGGTGATTGTTCGACGACAGCGCGTCACCGCACACACACATACACACACCACCCACCGCGAGTGTGCCTATCGATCGCCGGAGAAGAGCTGTGCGTCGAGTAATCCCGAAGGTGTTAATGCACGTGAAGAGCGAACAGCGGACGCACACGAGCGAGTAGAGAGGACTGGCTTGCGCGTCTCCGTGGAGTTGACGTCCTCGCTTTCTCCGCGGTCTCTGTCTCGTCTTGCGATCAGGTGTGGGGGAACCACGCGTGTGCAGGCAGGATCACGCACTGGTGCTACTAGACTGGTTCACCGCAACCAGCCGCATCGTCCTCGAGCGACAGCTACGCGCCAAGTATGATGGCGAACTGCGTTACAGCCGGCGGAGTACTATACACGGATCGTTTGACAGATCGGAGCCGACTGGCCTCCGCCCCTCACCTGCGTCTTTTTATAGCCTTGCCCCACCCGGCTCCCCGCGCGTACCCTCCAGACGCTTCCAGCGTTTGTACGGCGCAATCGCTGCCCGAGTGGAGTAGCGGTGGCTTCGAGCGTCACGCGATCTGTACTTCTTGTTGACCGATCTGGGCAGGCGTAACGTATGTTTTGTGGAACAAGTCGGAATGGATTCCAATGGGAATTGTCGTTTTCTCTAAAAGAGAAAAAAAAAAACATAGAAATCTAGGGAGAATAATCGATTATTCCATAATACGCTGATTAGAATTCTTAGTCCAACTTGCAGAGAGTACAACTCGTAATTTGCGTTCTATGAGAATCTCTCTGTTGCGAGTACTTCTGATGAGAAAAAAATCTTTTAATTTTTATATGTGTAAAAGAAAGAATTGAAAAACAGAAATCCGAAATAATTTAGGTACACTAAAAGTAACGATTTAAAGTAATTAAAAGAGTATTATGAAACTATATCAAGTCGATTGTCACATAAGTAAATTCGCAATCATAAATTGCAAGTGATTTATAAAATTGACGAACTTTTTGAAAATCAATTAAAAGTCGCTCTGTATGTAATTGCAAAATTCTTATAATAACGGGAAAGAGCTCTTCTCAGATTGTTTCGCACAAATAAAAAACGTGATTGAATTAAAATTGACTTAATTATCTGATTAATAAAGTAAAACAGCTAAATAATAATTATTAATTATTAATTATGGTTTTTAATAATTGCTAATCGCTATTAATTAGTAAAATAATCAAGTAGTTATTAGATAGTAGTACACTGTAAAAAATAAAATGTTAATTTTAACTTAAAGCCGTATAGTGGACTTTCTGAGACATGCAAAATGTTAAAATTAACATTATTGTGTTAATTTTAACATTTTGCATGTCTCAGAAAGTCCACTATACGGCTTTAAGTTAAAATTAACATTTTATTTTTTACAGAAAGAGACAGAGTGTGTAACTATCATAATTATTTAACTATAATTATTTAAAACTAATTAGTCGAATAATCAGGTAGTCAATAATTAATTAAGCAGTTATTAGTAACTATTTATTTTTTAAATGCAAGGTTGAGGAAGTTAATTGCGATCAAACCAGCGAGCTCGACGCGTTTAGAACAATGAACGAGAGGGATCGTCGAAGTGCGCGTGAAACTCGCACGTGAGGTCCGATTCGAAGCTATCAGTAGTCGGGGGTGTTTGACGACTATGCGACTGGCGGCGTCGGTGGAACACGAGGGGAGTGTAAAAGGGAGACGGGAAAGGGGAGCACTACCATTGTTGAACGTCCGGCGGCGCCAGCCACTAGCCATCACGGCTATACCACTACCACCTAAGCACCGTCATCACCAACACTGTAACAGGCGGTCGACCAACCACCACTGTCCTGGGCTCTCTATGTACTCGACTTGCACGGTGATGGTCACTCGCTAACCTGTGCACCATGATTCCGGCCGTGCGATTTTCTCGCGGCGGCGAACAAATTCGCGCGCTCGTACTCCGATTATTTACGTTCAAGTCGTATTACACGCGTTACGTAAATGCGTCATGGACATATACGTATCGTCCTTAGAGGAAAACGAAATAGTTTTCTGACAATTCCGGAATTGCAGTATCTACAACATATTTTTGTAAACTTTTATTGTGGAAACAGAAGAGATATCGAAATCACAGCGACAAATATATGGTGCAATTCAAGGATGTCTGACAAATTGACCCTAATTTGACCGCATTCAATTATTTTAAACAAGAAAAATTATTCTTTATTCGGTCAAAGCGAATTTTATTGCACACAGTTTGTAGAATCAGATAAGCGATATATGTATAAATTCACACAGAAATATTCAAGCGCTAAGGGCTCACTTTGATGGAGTAAGAGATTTCTTTCGTTCAAAACTATATATTTATTCTCATTGATCCCAAATCGTATATCACAATTTTGTCTAATTGCCTAATTATTCAACTGAAATGACTTTTCTCTTTAGCCCCGAAGAAACGCGCCATATATTCGACTTTGTTCGAACTGCAATTCGACAAGAGTTATCTCGAGCGACTCAATCCCTTTTCGGATTGAATATTTTGCTCAAAGCGACAGCATCGCGATTAAACTCGAAGCGTCCATTTTCAAAAGAGCTTTATTCATAAACTTTTTTTTTTTTTTCTAAAAGGCGCCTCGTGACAACTTCCGCAAGTTATTCCACACGTTCGTTCGACTTTATTTGGGGGGCTGCCACGCGAATATCGTCCCTCGGACAGCTCAATCTTTCCCAGCGAATATTCCGCTCGAGGCGATGGCGTCGTCGCGATTACATCGTACTTTGTGTCTTCCGTCTCGCTCCTGGCCGGCTCACGTGCTCGCACGTACGCGCTTCGTGACTCCGTGGCGGAGTCTCGTTACCGGTTGTTGAGGACAAGAATCCGCCCGATGTCCGGCGCTACGAACGAGTTGAATAAAAACAGAGAGGTGGCTGCGCCACAGCCGCTCGATAGGAGAAAAGAGAAAGAGAGAGAGAGAGAGAGAGAGAGAGAGAGAAAAAGCGAGCCGACCGAACTAGCGGCGACACGCTTCGTAGAATCGTAGTCCAGGCGACGTCGATACGCGGGTCTCGTCCGAGGAAGCCGGTCTGTGGAGACAATTGAGGGCAGCGGGGTGGACGCGCGGAATCATTGACAACTGCTTGCGAGATACTCTCTCTCTCTCTCTCTCTCTCTCCCCATCTTTCTCCAGAAAGATTATCGAACCGCGCGAGTCAGAGATATGTGTATCAGTAAAAAATCATCAATTGTTTAAATTAATCCCCCAGGAAGTCAAAATCTGTAACAGTTACTGACACTAGATGGATCTGTAAGATCCATTAAATTTAACACAAGTAATAATTAGTTGAGTTAAAATAAAATAAATTAGTAATATTCGTGTGTGGCGCTCCAAAAATAAATCCAACACAATTAAAATACCTGTGTAAGCCTCTCTGTGGTTATTGATGCGTAAATTATGTATTCGTATGCGATATAAGATATTATTTGCAACGAAGTTAGTTTGCAGCACTTGATTTCCGCGCTGAAGAAGACTCCAATCTAAAGTCGAGAGAAACGTTTACGTTTAATTTAACTTCGTTTGGCAAGTATGGTATATCCCAATTAGTTGCGAATCGTATCTTTATTGCGTTCGGATGCATAATAATTGTGATATTTTAATTGTATTGAATTTATTCTTAGAGTCACATAAATATTATATTATATTTAAATTAATTTAATTTATATTAATTAAGAGGCACTCTCTCTCTCTCTAATTAATTCCAGAATTATTTTAATCACAAAAATGACAATTTATACAGAAAAGAATAAATACAAGAGTATTTTTAATAAAAAGAATAATTTAAAATTTGCAGATGTAAATACAAAAAAACTTGAGATTTCCGACAAAAAAGTTTATACCATTGATCCAGCGTCAACTTCAGAGAGTCAAAACAACAATCTCCCCATCCTATTTCGAAATAATATATCAGAAGTTATTGAGTCTTTTAATAAAAATACGTTTATGTAGCTAAAAGTCTAATATTACATCAGAAATAATAATTTTGTGTAATAATTTATATAGTAGTTAAAAGCAGGACACACTCTGTTAACTTTGATATCTATTTATTCGTGATACTTCAATCCGTGTGAATCTCTTGGAAACGATAGCGGTATCAAAGTAACTGGAAATATCCGTTAAAGTAATTGAAAATTTTTAACTCTACCGCGCGTAATCCAGTAGATATTAAACTATATAATTTAAAGAAAAACTCCATCACACAGACAAAGCAAAAGCTGTCGCCTTCTCATTTGTCAAAACCATGAGATAAATAACGCTCGCGATATTTTTCAATAGTCCGCTAATGATATTTTCCAATAGTGGCCAACGCGTTTCTTCCTCGCGATAAGCCACAGATAAAAAAAAAAAAAAAAACGTCGAGCACGAGCTTATTACTATCAGCGAGCAAAATACGCGTCAACTTATTTGTCCAATACCGCATGCGACTCCAGAGGATATAGCAGTAAAAATATACGTAACGTTTCTTCGCAGTATCTCGCACGGTTCGCTAATATGTCTTCGCGTCGACAGCGCCGATAAGGATAAAAAGAGACGAGTCACACCTATATTGCCGGAGCGCAAAAAGACGGTCGTTCATGGACATTATCGCGGCGATCATACAGAACGCGAGACGTTATTCAGAACGGCGGCGACAATTTCGCGGTGTGGTGGTTATTGACGAGAGGTCTCTTTCTCTCTCTCTCTCTCTCTCTCTCTCTATCTATTATCTCAGAGAAGAGGCTCGGGAGGAATAATCCCGTGGAAAATTACAGGGAATAAAACTGAACGCGAGACGCCCGTGAGACTCGACGGGCAAACACTTATGCGGTTACATACCTGAGCAACCGGATCTCATTGACTCCTTGACCCCGGTGTTTAAGAAACGTAGTTCCCTTGACCCGGGAATAAATAAACCGAGGAAACGCCGCCGACGGCACGCTATCGTTCGTACGCGAGAGAATTTACTGATACTTTTCACTGAGATTCCCCTGGCTCCGAGAACCTCATCCGACGTTACGGCTTTGGCGCCGCGTCACCAAAGTGATCGGTCAATTAAGTTTCCGTACCGGAAACGTAAGGCTGCCGGCTAACGTGATGTCGCAAATAGTCGCGAGGTAAAATTAGTCCGTCAGCGTTATAAGTACGTCGAAATTTCTGCAGATTTCGTTCGAGTCGAGTTACGTATTCATATGTCTAAAGAAGAATTTCTGAAAGAAGTCTGCGGCGACTATATAATGCGACAGTTCTGAAAAAGTATCCTCGACATGTCGAAGTTTGAAATATATTCTTGAAGTAAAAATTAAAAATATGTATCATCACAACAACAGGTGTAGGAACAAAAATAGAATGATAAGAGAACGATATAAAATAAGAACGTTTAT